CTACCATGGACAGTTCCAAGAAGGACTGAAGATTCAGTTCAAGTTTAAATAGTTTCAGCCTCCTACACTGTTAGCTACAATGGTTTAAAAGAGCTATATTTTTCATTGTTCCAGTGTTTACATTCAAAAAAAAAAAAAGTGAGCAAAGTATCTGAAGGACCTTTGGGGTTATCTACATGCACTTATCCATTTGTATTTGTGCCTTCCTAGATGCCAGGATAAGTTAGTTATTCCCGGTCGCCATGTAATAGTTACAATTGTGTAATTTCTTTTCTGCTTAGCAGCACTTGAAATGCTTTATTTTGCACATGTATCTACACCTTACTTGAGCCAACCTTTTTGTCACTGAAGTGCACTCGTTGATACTATACCTCACCTTATATGCGGTAATGGCTAACACTTTTATCTCCTGTGGGCTCTAAGTGGTAAAGGGGATTGTGTAAGAGTTTTATGCATTACAATGCTGGAGTGGAATTATTGTTTAATTGCCATCCAGAGTGGGGGTAGTGTTGCAGGAACGCAACGGCGTTCGACGGCGAGGAATGGTTAACACACCCATAGATTGCCGGCCTGTTAACTGAGTGTCCCAAGTTCTCAACGGAAGGCCAACTCCGGGCTAAAACCTAACCACGCGTCCGCGATTAGGGGTCAGTGCCACCTGCTGAACGAAAACTGCATTCCTAGGGGCCGCGCCCCAGTCCTAATTAAAATTACTCTATATATTATAAGCATCACTGCGAGGTCTCCGCCTCCAGTTTAATTACCTGACGACCGAAACCGCGTTTCTGCTGATCAATAAAACCAAATTCCCTACACTACCGGGTGACTGGCTGGCATCCAGTCAACCCACATCTTCTTTAAACACTTTAAACCGTATTGTCTCAAACACATATAACCTCTTAGATCAAAATTCACCCCCAAAATAAACAGCACTAAATTTAGACAGACCAATATTCCCTATTTTTAAAACTAATTACCCAAGATCAGAACAGAACATAAGCCCCACTGAGTGAACATTTAATTTAGCTTAATTTCCAATTCAGCACCTTTGGACGTCAACAGGCGGTGCTTACCTCTCCTATTCCGGGGCCCATCACTCAGTCGACCTCCTGGCTGTCCGTCTGACACCACTTATACCCCAGCCAAGCTCCATTTGTCCCTCCTCAAACCGGGTTTTTCGGCACCAGAATTGTCATGGTTCGGATTTTGAGGAAGAGACTACGACTGGGATATAGTTTGGATCAGCACAGATCATTTATTAAAACACACATTACAGTGTGGGAAGATGTTTCCACTCATGCTTTCTGGGAACCTAACCAATTGTGTATACAGAGTGTGCAGTTTTGTGAGTGTGGGTCCAGGCTAAAAAGTTCACCGTGTCCTCATATGACTTTACTGCGGCCTGCCTGGAGATACAGCTAAACTGGTGCTTTTCGCCACATAATAGAGTATTACTTCCAAACTGGGTTTTATCCTGCGTGTTCTGAAATAAATGATAAATGATACATGATAACCTGATGATAAGTGATGCAGACTAATGAAGTAATGATGAAATAATGACAGTGCATGTAAATGATAACCAAGTAACAGTAAAATAACAGGTTTTCCTCGACACACCTCATAAATCTGAAATCTGTATCTTTTCACCCTCCCTCCCTCATTAGGGCCCGTGTGTCTCGCTAATGTTTACTTACATCTGTCATTTTTTCCTTTCTCGTTTACTGATTTGCTCCAGTTGCCACAGAGAGCGCTGTACGGGCATCTCTCAGTGTCTGCGCTAGGATCAGTTGCGCAGGCAACAGTTCACCTGTGGAGGGTAACTCACTATTGCCTCTTCACAGGGAAACGATGATCTGGGTCTTTTTACTTTTAAAATCATTTATTTTAAGATTTTAGTTGTAATTCAGTAAACTATCATAACCCTAGATGGAACACGATGCAATCCTGGGCCACTTTGGACCACAGAAGGCCTAGATTCTCTATCCTAATACAGGCTATTCACAGCAAACCGTATATTTATCCTCGTGATAAATTAAAATTGGCAAATAAAATATCAGTGATTCCAAAATGTCTGCTTAGAAAATCTTTTAGATGTTTTTTTTTTTTATTTCCATTCACCGGTATGACGAACGCGGCCGTGACTCTGGCAGACGAGCTGAACACTTTCTATGCTCGCTTCGAGGCTGCAGCTAAGGACTCCAACAATGCTAGTGCTAGCGGCGCTAACGGCTGCAGACAGGAAGATACTGCCTTTAATGACTTTAATATTTGTACGTAAAGCAGGTAGACATCAAAGCATGTAACTGAACTCGCATGTTTTTTGTTTAGATACATGTGATCAGTGAACTTTATCTCATATAATGAAATCTATGATTAGAAGAAAATATTCTGGATCTCACTTATTTCTAAGCTCTGGTTAAAGCCCTGACCTCATGTGTTGATGACTCTTCACCTCTGTCTCCTCTCACATGGAGAAGATGATCTGCAGGATCCTGCTGCTCATCATCCTCACCTCATGTGTCTCTGGTTAGTTTACAGCTTCACTTTATGAACTCCAAATAAAGCTCAACAACAGATTTGTTCCAGTTCTCAGTGTGTCTGCTCCTCTCTTTCCCTCTCTGTCTCCTCAACAGGATCATTTGTAGTCAATGTGACACAGACCTGCTATCAGGCAGAGGAGAACCACAACATCACACTGGAGTGGACGTTCACCACCAAACCTGACAGATCCACCAAAACTCTCAACATCCTCTGTGAACTCTTCATCAGTGATAAACTCTCAGGATGAAAGTCTCAGGATGAAACGTTTTCAGGACGAGTCCAGAGTGACAAAGACGCCCTCAGAGAAGGACGAATCAGACTTCAACTGTGCAGACTCAGGACTGATGACTCAGGTCTGACCTCACCTGTGTGAGGTCAACACAGATTATGGCTTCAGTGTTGGAAGATGTCAACTTAATATCACTGGTGAGTTGTTTCAGTAAACTATGAATGAATTCAGATCAAAGTCAGAGTGAAGTATGCAATGTTAATTTTTATGATGGTGCGCTTTCTTTGCTATTGTGCAGTTTTGGTGATTAATAATTAAAATTATTTGGTAATATTGAAATTTAATTTAAGCACCTTTTCATCTGGGCCCACGTTCACTAAAAGTTTCTTTCAGTGTTAAAATTCAAAGCTCATGCACAGGAAAAAAAATCTAAGAATTTCAAAGTTCCTGTTAAGATCTAAGTTTTATATAAAAGAGCTCCTAAAGCTGTGAGGAAGGATGAGAAGCACTTGTGAGAGGCTCAGGAGTTTCTTCAGCAGAGAGAAAGACGAAGTTCACAGAAACATGTTGGAACAATGTTTCCCCTTCAGGTGAGGAAATAAAAATGGGCAACTTTGTGTAAAACTGTTATTTGATGAGGCTACAGAGACAGTTGACTTTATGAATTATTTAGGGTCTAAGAGCTGATGATGTTGTTGTTGTTGTTGTTAAAAGCTGAACCATTTTTCTCTGTTTCATTTATTTGGATTAAGAATTAAATATGCCAACACAATAAATGAACACCAGCATTAATATCAGCCTGTAGATTTACCCACTGAGGAGTTTTCAAATATTTAATCAGTTTGTCCAATGCAGGACTCAAAAACAAAAGGTAAATTCAAAGTAGCAGCTTTATTCACTGGGAAAAAAAACTCAAACACTAACTACAAGAAGACTAGACTGGAAACATGAACTCAAACTAGAAAACTGACCAGGAACAGAGAACTAGGAACTTTTCAGGAGCACAGCAGAAACACAGAGCAGATGTATGATGGTTAACAACGCTACAACGGACAGAGGAAAACACAGGGCTTAAATACAAGGGAGCTACGGTCGAGGGGGTTGGGAGACTCATCTTGTAACCTGGAAGGCTGCCGGTTCGATCCCCAGCTCTGTCTGTCTTGGTCATTGTGCCCTTGGGCAAGACACTTCACCTACCGCCTACTGGTGTTGGCCAGAGGGGCCGATGGCGCGATATGGCAGCCTCGCTTCTGTCAGTCTGCCCCAGGGCAGCTGTGGCTACAACCATAGCTTGCCTCCACCAGTGTGTGAATGTAGAGTTTGAGGGTCTTGAAAAGCGCTATATAAATGCAATTTATTATTATTATTATTATTATTATAACGAGGGAATCAAATGCAGGAGAGAGGAGAGCACAGCTGGGAATAATCAACATACATAACATGTAGAAAATCTCAACTTGCTGAGCACAGGACAGGGACTATCAAAATAAAACAGGAAGTATGAAAACAAAACCAGACTTGACACTGAGACACTGAAACATGACAGACTTTGGAACAGAGGAAACAAAAGTAACTAAATGTGGAACACAGGGGAAGACATAGTGACAGAGAACAAGACTCAGAACTAAGCAAACAACACACGGAGACAAATAAGGAGAACAAGAGTACAGAACTAAACCTTCACAAAAGACATGATATCCGGAACACTGGGGAGGCACAGAACCAAAACAGAAGCCAAGAGACCAGAAAGTATAAATAACATGAAATCCAAGACTATAAATAATTCAAAATACAAAACACTGGGTCACTGACCCAGGACCGGGACACAGTTACAGTCTGACTTCCAGTTTCTTTATTTTTAGTCCAATTTAATCCAACTCTAAGATTGAACTTTTATTTATGTGTTTGATCTTTGGTCTCATGTTTTCCTCCAAATCAAAGGGCTCGGTCACTCCTCCTCACTGAGGTAAAGTTTTAGTCCTTTCTCACTCAGAGCTGCTCTGACAGGTTTATGTAATCTCTCTTAAATTCCTCACTCAGATTTTTAGACTCAGTTTGGAGCTCTGAGAGCTTCCCTGACTGTTTGTGAAGCCCTACGTGATGGTTGGTAGCATTGAAGGTCTAACTGATAGTTTCTCTGCTTTTCTTCACTTTGATCACTGTCATTGCCGGATTTTGGTGGGGAAAATAATGAATGATCACTTTCATTGTTTTTCATGTTGATTAGATTCTTTTAATCAGCCTCTGTTCGATAGTTCATTCGAACATTCCAAGACTTCCTGTCCTCGGCCTCTCAGTGACCTTTGGTTTGTACAACCAGTAACAGGTTCAATTCAAAAGATTTTTTTTTTTTATCAATTAAAGGTTATCACTTCTATGTCAGTACTAAACAAACATACTTTTTACTGCACCAATAGACATAATTTATTTTATTGCAGATTGTTTTTATTTAATGTTTTATATTTACTTTAAGTGACTCATAAGTGTTTGTGTCTCTGCAGCCATGAGACCTGAAAGAAAACCTGAGACATCAAACACAGAGAGTCAAGGAAGGATTGACCTCTACTCTGGACTAATGGCAGCTCTGCTTCCTTTATTTATTTAAAAGAATAAATATGTTTATAATTTATTATTTGACTATTTTCTTATTTATTTATGGACATTAATTAAATGTCCGTTCATTTCATTTAAAACATTTAATTAATTATCATTCATTTTGTCACTCATGGCCCTCCGTAGTCTTCCACAGTGTTTTGTTTTTTTTGCAGTTTTCTTACCCCCAATTGGTTGTGACAGATGACTGCCCCTCCCTGAGGCGGATTCTGGCAGAGCTTTTTTCCCATTAAAAGGGAGTTTTCCCTTCCCACTGTCACCAAGTACTTGCTCAAAGGGGGTCATATGATTGTTTTGGCTTTCTCTGTATACAATATAAACTACTTTGACCTCGATGATGTTTTCATCGAGGTCAAGGAAAAGTGGGTTGATAGAATTGCTAGTCAGAGTAGTCTTGTGGATCAAGACCAGCAAGATCATCAGGGTAGAGAGTACATGCTATTATTTTGCAGCGATATGTTCTATGATTTTGCTGTTTCACCTGATGTTGTCCCCTCTCAAGCAAGGCTGCTGTCTTCTTGTAAAGTCTCTCGACACTTTGTGTACTAGCAGAATGGTCACCTAAAAGGGGAGCACTGTAAAAAGTTCAAATGGTTTGTCTACAGAGTTAACAGGAAAAAACAATGAACTGAATTGTTGGTGAGGTGTTTGAGTTCCAAGAGTGGCCATCAGGGCATTGCAGGCCTCCAAAGGCATGCGCGCGCGCGCACACACACACACACACACACACACACACGAGAATAATGTTCACAGGACTCTGGACCGCAGAGAGATCTGCACTGAGAGATGAATTCAAGGCATCAGAAAACAGAGAATCAATACTAGATGGTGGCAAGAGTATATCTGACTGACACATCAATCTGGCAATGACAGAATCTTTTTTTTCTATGGAACGTGAGGAAAATTATCAAGTAATAACTGACTGAAACATCTTCAGTGGATTTTAGGTGACTGCAAGTTTTATTCAGTGGAATGAGAGATAAGAGAGCAACTTCACATTATTACTTCTGTTTAAAGAGAAGATGATCTACTTGCTCTACATCTGATCTAGTCTTCTTTCTTATTCTGCGGATCTGAGATACACATAAATCAGGGCACAGCAGCAAAAAAAACAGGAACCACAAACTCACTCTTGCTAACAGACGAGTCCCAGCATTTACTGTGTAACCTGTCAAGTTCAAAGGACCATCTTTGCTGCAACTGCAGCTGCAAATGCAACCTGTACAATTACAAAAGCAGTTTTAAATTTCTTCCAGCGTTTTTCCTTTGGACTTTCAGCTCCTGCAATAAGACAGAAAAACAGGTGAATTTAATTTTTTTCTCACATTTGACAAACTTTGTTTTCTTAAACTGATAAAACAATTTTCAAACACAAACTTTGTTTTGCTAGTCAGATGGATAATTTATGTTATGAATTGGGTAGTCCTGGAGATGCTAACTCCAGAGGTCAAAAAGCAACCACTTTTGCTCCTCCCCTTTGTGAGTGTGGACGCTTCATCTCTTTGCTCTTGAATGCTTTGCTTCTTATATTGATTTTTATTGATTTTTATGCTGATTTTTTCCCTTTTTTTCGTGTGAGCTTACCTGCGATAACTTCTGGACACTTGTAGATCATTAGGACTAGAGTGTTCTTAACAGAAACAGCAACATTTT